CAAGAGACCTTTGGTGACCCATCGAAATGCAATCACGACAGGTTGGAAAAGAGTCGGTAGGGTGTCTGGAGACAATACCAAAGCGAGAGAGTCGATATTGGAGGAGGACTTGGCGAAGAACGTGAGCTTGCACAATTCCTTTTGCTTGAACAGGGAATTGAAAGTGAAAGGTTTACCAAATCAGGCAGAGAGGTTGCAAGAGCAGAGGGAGTGGATGCGATCCTTCGAACAATTAAAAGCGTGGGAAGAGATCGTAATCAGTTCCGATGATGAGGAACCGCTGCTAAGGCAGATCACGGTGTCAAACTCATCAGGGCCTAGCACTTCGAAAGCTAGGAATACGAAATGAGCAGAGGTCTCAATGTGGGTTTCTTGAGTCTTGAGATAGAAAGAAAGGGGCTCGAGTGTGAATTCGGATGAAATCCGGGTCACGAAAAAGAAATTGTAAGGAAACAAAATAATTGTTATTAATATGCTATAATTATTATGTAAATCAAAATGTTGCATGACAATTTCCTGATTGGATAGGACAAAAGAAATTTTAATTCATTAGCCTGCAAAGCAGGAATTAAAAGTGCAGGTGTATGCAGATATTGATTGCTGTTTAGCGAAAGTGTGACAATTTTACATGGTTGTGATTTTTGGGGTGTAGATAAACTTAAGTCTGCTGCAAACTTCTTTAAATGACCACTGGCACTATCTTGAGCTACACTCAGAATTCTGGGGCCTATCTGGCAGACGGCACAACGCGATGAGGACATCGATCTTGAGTCCGGGGAGTATGTGCCAGTCGGTCATATTTGGAAGTTTGACCTTGAGGAATACGAACTACGTAATTTTGGGATAAAATGTAATTTTTCAAAAGTTCGAATTGAGCCTGTCATGCTCAACGTTCTCGCGAAAACTGAAAATCTCAGAAATACAAGATCAGAACAACCGAATTACAATCGCGGGAAAAAAATTGAAAAAAAACAGCGGGAAATTTCTATTCGCAATTTCCAGATATAAATCAAACGCGAGTAGAGCTGTCCTATCCTGAATAGGAAGCAGAGCGATTGTAAACAGAGCAAAGACAAAGAAGAAGTGAACCAGAGTGAACCCTCAGTGGAAAGGTGGACAGCTGGGGTAACCCAATGGTCCAGTTCCAAAACTTAATTCTCGAGTCAAAACTTATTTCCCTTGCTGGAATTTATTAGTAGCAAACTTCTCAAGTTATTATACTAAATGCTAGAGTTGTTGATTAATTTAGTTCTCCCAATTCTCGAATGTGCCGATATGTGAGTACTCAATTTAATTTTCTGGAGTGTGTTTTATGATTGTTATGTTGTGGCAAGGAGAGTTTCAGGTTGATTCATCTGAAATGGATCAAAGTTCCACTGTCTAATAAAAAGTAAGCAAACGGACTGTTCCGACCCTATTTTTAACGGCGTTCGCGTATTTTGGGTATTTTGAGACCTAATTATGGGGATGTTCTTATTTTCTAGAGTGGGGGTATTTTGGTAGTGGCTTTAAGCTGTAACGGGTTTTTAGTCTCACGTCGCAAGTGAACCGAATTGCCTCCAACCATTCGAGGTGGAAAAACACAAGAGATAGTGTCCCTGACTCTTGAGCCAATGGTTATAGGGCCTATTTTTCTTTAACCTCATATGTGACCGAAGTAGGCGACTGTTACATGACGTTAATTGGACGATCCGACAAATCGGGAAGGGTTAGTTTTGACTGACATACTAATTTTCAATTTTTCGAACTGGAGGTGGAAGACACGTAATCTTTTATTATTTCGCACCCACTGAAACTGCGAAATCAGAACAACAAATGTCTCAGTGACAACAACAACGAAAAAACGGCGGAAGGTTGAGATTGTTGTGAGGAATTGTCAGAAACCACTCCGAGTTGCAACGATTGAACGATTGTGCCGCTACAATTGTTACAGAGCAGTTCACAAGAACCAGGAAGGGTGTTGGGACGACGTGTCCAGCCTTCCGAGAAGAAATAAGAGCGTTATTTTTCCGGATTGCAGAATCCGGAAGGGTCTCGGGAGAGAACTGTAACTCGGTATTTTAACAACTTTCAGCTTCTCGGAATGTTTTGAGTTGAAATTAATTGATACCAAATTCGTTTTCAGATAATGAGAAGCTAAGAGTTGGGGAAAAGGGTTGATCCATCTTCGATGGAGATGATGGTTTTTATCTACTGATCAAAATAATAGTAGTATAATAAATAAGTGTCGCCTTGTTTTTAGGAGTGACCTCGTGGTCTCGGGATACTGAGACCCAGCCATGAGCTCACTATTTTGCATATAATTAAATCAATCAGAGCGTTCTGATTCAAGCCGGAAACAGTAACGTTTTTTTTGTCGAGCCGATGTTAGAAAGACCACCAATAGAACTGGCTTTGGCAGAGACGGTGAAAAGCATGCAGAGATGTGTTTAGACGCTAGCCAGTCGTTTTAGAACCTAGCTTTATTTTCCGTCGATATGTACTTCCGGGCGAATGTTACAAGAATTGACCCCTGAGGCACACCACGGTGTACTGGAAATGGCTCGGATACTGCTTGTCCAATGCGAACGGTTTGTTCTTTATGTGTTAGATAACTTTTTAGCATCTATGAACATTGTACTGTGAAACCACAGCTCCTAAACTTTTCAATGATCTATGCGTGGTTCACCTTGTCGAGTGCCTTTTGGAAATCTAGGTAGAGGCAAGCCAGGTAATTTGTTTCGATATTATCATAGAAAGTGTATACCTCACGGAGATACTCAATGAGGTTTGTAACTGTAGATTATTTTTGACGGAAGCCGTGTTGTGAGTTTGAGATGCTTAATTTTACTGATGAAATCATTTTATCAAAAATTAATTTTTCTAACACCTTTGAGATAACCGTTAGTAGATTTATTGGTCGGTAGTTTGAGACAAGTTGTTTGTCTCCCTCTTTGAAGATAGGAACAATTTCGCTTATTTTCCATGTTGACGGAAAAACACATTAGCAATTGTGTTAAAAAGTAGATACAGAGATTTAGAGATAGAACAGCTTGATTTTTTCAAAAGAATGTTTTCAAGGTTATCAGGCCCTTTGGCTTTGTTGATATCCAAACTCTGACTCAGAAGCTTCCAGTTAAATTAATTCAAAATCTTTAAATTAATTAAAGAGGTTCAATTATTTTAATATAAATAAAAATTTGAGAGGTGAACTGTGATTGGCTTATTTCTTAAAAAGATTGCTAAGAATTAAAATGTGTTTGAGTTATTCTAAATTTTGGTTTATTTTTTAACACGATGGTTTAGAACCAAAATGTGTATGAGTTACAGTAATTATAATTTGTATATTGGTGTTTTGTCGTCTTCTAGATTAGTCTTTTTGTAAAATCCTGACGATGCACACATAGTTGAGAAAACAATTGTAAATTACTTTTTATCAAAAAATTTTTTTTGAATTTGTCAGCTCGGACTTTTTTTTTAGAAAGTTCAGACTTTTTCAAAGTTGTTATTTTTTGTCCGTACAAGTTTTTTTTTTTTATAATCCACATCCATATCAGTAGGATTCTAAGTCTAATTTTGACTGGAATACGTGATGACGGGACTCCTGACTGTATCCTCGGTTACTATGATACCTTTGACCTTCTGATTATCGATAAAAAAAAGTCCCCGCAAAAAAAAAATATGGCTTTATGGGTTCCTTGTCTCCCCAGTTGAAGTGTTTGAGTCATATTTCGATCGCCACGAAAAATAAGTTATGTGGTTCAGTTTTAAATTAAACCGAAACATATCCGCTACGTGCTCATGGGTTAACAAACTCCACTCGTATACTGGCTACATCGTCCCGATTATAACTTACTGTTCACAAACTTGGTCACCAAGTAGAGCCAAATTAGTAAGTTTCGAACGAGTACAAGTAATGGCCACAAAGTGGATTCTTAATTACAATCTTGACTACTAAGGAAGACTAGTCAAACTTAAACTACTGCCATTATGCCTCTACGTTGAAATGCACGATCTTCTCATGAATTTATCCTTAGTAAATTCCAAATATGACATATCAATTGCTGTTGAATCTTCTAAGGAAGAAAAAACTCGCCAACACAGCAGAGGAGAACATGCAGTCAACAAAAACAGACTGAACAAATCAGACGAAAACTTTTTTCACAGAACGAAACTCTTACACAACATCGTCATCAAACACTAAGAAGAATATGGGAACCAGGGAACCAACTTGACAAAAAATCAATAAGCAAACTTTATTGGTATTACTTTGTCAGAAAATTCAATTATCTAAACAGATGCACTTGGAGAATTATCTGCAAATGCATTCACTGTAACAACTGGAAAAAACTCAAACTTAACTTGATGAAAACATGTAAATGACGGGACTCATAAACCCTTGGGAAGCGTGACTTCCCAGAAGCCTCAACTACTTTTACTACTACTACTACTTCTACTACTACTAATTGGAACCAAAATAAAGGCACAAGTGCAAACATTACCAACAGCAACATAGCCTATAAAACTATGAAATTTAAGTTGAAGATTTATTTTTTATCTAGTTTCGTGAAGATCCCTCTTTGGCAACCTATGAAAAAAAAACATCGTGGAAACAATTTGATTTTATTCGGTGGCGAAGTAATTTTTGTTACCAGAATTTTCTGTAAATATACATTGTACATGACTGAACAAAAATTGCATGACATACACTTGGATCATGTTATTATCGCATCATAAATTGCATCATGTTATTGAATATCATTTTACAATTAAAGTTTTCATATTTTGTTTCGATCGACCCGACCGAAAAGGGCTATGTTTCGACCAAAGGTAACGTAAGTGTTTTCGACGCAGGCCTGCTATTTTTCGACCGACTCGGCCAAACTGGTTGTGTTGATGGAAGCAAAATTGTGTTCATTCGAAACATAAATGTAACACCTCAGCGGGGGTCTGCTCCCGGCAGGCAAACACGCCGGATTTTATTTCGATGATAAAATTTTCCAGGCATGTACACTTTATTCTAGATCGTATTTGTTATGTATTTTCATATTTTGGGATCTGCTCAAGATGGATAGTGCAGATCACGCATATCAGGTACATATACTTACTTATTTATCAGATTTTATGAAAAAAATGAGCCTTTTCAGTCAATGACCTATTGTTCACTCTTTCATCTGTTTTTTGATTTTATGATTTTTGACTCTTGCTTGGTAGTTTTTTTTTTAAGCTGAGCCTAATTTATGTTTTTTTGGCTGGATTTTGTTCATTCACCTTTTCCAATTGTTTGGTGATGACGGTGATGTTTCTGGTTTGAGAGATTGACAGGTCTTCTACAGTGTTCTGCATTGAATCTCGCTGCTTTGCTCTAGAACGATGATTCGAATACAGATGAAGGAGGAATGGAAGTGGAATGGCTGCGCGCTGTGGGATTAGATACTGCAGTTGAGCAATTTGAAAAGGGAAATATAATTGAAGACGCCACTGTTAAACAGCAACTGTCATTTTTGACACGTCAGCAACGCGTTACTGTCGAAAAGCGGCTAACCCTCCTTAATAAAAGGTAAAATTTCAGCTGCTAATTCATTTTTACGTCGAGAATATGTTACTATTCATATGCCTAAGCATTTATCATGCTACATTGCTGTATACAACATTTCTAGGCCTACGGCTTTTCATGTTCACATCGTTGTTTCATACAATGGTCGAACGCAACATTTAGGGTTATGTTTTGTGGTTATTGGTTTAAACGTTGTTACCTTAGTTGCTTTCTTTTTCGCAAGTGACAGCACAATGTTGTATTTGGAGGAGTTTTGGCAATGCATCTCACAGGCTTTGACGGCGAGTGCGGGTGACACATAATCAGTATATTTGAGCTTAATAAAAATTTTGGAACGTAATAACACTCTCAATGGAGTTTGAAATTGAATTGGGGTTCAAATCTCGTAGGTGCCGAAGCTTTCAAAGTGTCAATGAAAGAAGTGAAGTCACTTATTTAGGCCGTTAAAATTTTTCAGGACAAATTTTTTTTTTATTATTTGCTCACGCTTAATTTTCGCTTTAGCGTTTTGAATTTGATTAAGTATTAATAAACTAAGTGGTTTATCACTTATTTAGGTCTTGTGTTTTTGTTTTTTTCCCCTCAACATAGTCTTTAGACAAGCGAAGCTTGTGTTATAGTATGAAATCGTTTTTTTCCAACCTAAGTCGCAAATATTGTTGCGACAAAATGTGTTCATTTTGATCAATAACCAGCTATTAAGTACAGTCAATGCTAAGGATATTAACACAGACTATCATATTACAATTAGCACTTTAGCTTCAAGGTATCAAGCATCTGTAGCGTAGAGGTATGGAATGAGACCCGCAAGAAAATAAGAGGGTTCGAACCTGGGCAGGGTCGGATGTTTTTAATGAATTTTTTCGTATATGTACTAGTTAAAATGCGTCCGCTCTATAAATTGAGACATGTTATTTGGTAAATTTCTTTTTTTTTCTTATTAACTGGTACTGCTAATGCGTCATATTTGGTTTGCGTCACTTAACAATTATGTACTCATAATTGGCGTGCGTCACTTAAGAAATTTTGTAGACTCAAAGTTTTACTCATTCAGTTTTTCCCAGTAAAGTTATCGGTCATATTTTTGCTTGTTTATGCGAAGTGCAACTTTGCTTCTTTCTAAAAAAATGTCCTCGTTCAAATTTAATTTTTGCGGTTGGACTTGGCTGTTTTCAGCTCAATTAAAACTTATTTGCACATTACGGGTGGAAGGCACATAACGTTATCCAATATCAAAAGTGTAAATGGCGCAAAAGTAACCTATTCACCCAGCTTTTTATATTGGGTTAGCTTTGAATAGCTTTGTATGTTATATAGGCCCCAGTGGTGCAATTACGCTTGCGATCAGAAAAGGTATTGCATTTGTGTAAAACACAATTTCCTGTTATCAAATTCGGTCAGACTTTGCACATGAGAGTTGACGCGTCTCAACTTGCCCTACATATAATTATCTGTCTGTTACGTACTCACTATCTCGCCATGTTTAAGCTTTTTTTCACCTAAGCTTTTTTTCACCCTTATATTTGCATGTTTTCCCAAAGAATTTTCGCACATTTAAAGGTTAAAATAAAACTCTTGTCGAAATTTGAAAACTAAAAGAATTTGACTAGTGATAATAAGAGATAAGACTTTAAACTCTTAAATGTGCAAAAATTCTTAAGGAAAATCTGCAAAAATTACGGTGAAAAAAGCTAAAACATGGCGAGGTAGTGAGTATGTAAAAGATAGATAATTATATATAGGGCAAGTCGAAGCGCGTAACTCCCATGTGCAAAGTCTGGACGAATTTGACAACAGGAAATTGTGTTTTGAACAGTTGCAATATTTTTTCTGATCGCAAGGGTAATTAGCCCTTTGGAGCCTATATAACATACAAAGCTAATCGAAGCTCTCATTATCATTACTCAAATTCTTTCAGTTTTTAAATTTTGACTTTTTTTTATGATTGTTCAACGGTTTTTACATAAAACATCATCTTAGTGTATGATTATGAACGTTTTTTACACTAGCGATCAGCTTGGTGTATTATTATGAACCTTCTTTTTTCTAATTTAACTCGCTAATAATAGTTCATTTAAAGTGTTCATTCATTTGGAAGTTTCCTTTTAGCATTCGAAATTGTAGAGCATCTGATCTCTGCTTTATTTGTGGCTAATGTTTGTTATCTAGCAAGCATCTGTAGCTGAGTGGTTCGTGTGCGAGACTTATAGAGCTACTTTTTGTCTTGTTCTCGCTAGTGTTTGGGAAGCGAAGCTTCGCCTCTGTGTTAAAACCTTAGATTTACAAAACCTCCGAACTTGAAATCCCCAACGTTATACCTGGGTGATGTCAAAGTGCTCTCAATTTTTGCAAGTCATGCTTCGAAATTGACTTCTCAAATTCTTTTTGTTTCCAAAATTTCAAAGAACTAAAAAAAATTGAAAATCCGAACCACTTCAGTTGAAAAATTTTAATTTTAGGACTGTTTTTCAACTAATTTTAAATAATTCAATTTACGAAATAGTTTGCGTTGATAGATGCCCCCGTTTATTCTTGCAGTTGCGTTTAATTTCGTTGTGTTTTCATATTTTTTTTATCAATAAGCTATGTTCACGTTCATCAATCTGTTTGAAGCACCGAAGTTTAATTTAAATGCAATGGCTGGTTCTGCCCATTTAGCGCAAAGGTAAGGCTTGGGATGACAAAGATCTAAGGCGCGAAGACATAGGAGAGGTCTGGTTGTTGTTGTAGTTGTTTTGTTCTTGTTATTTGCCCGTAGGGGGCGCGTCAAGCGAGCTAGGGCCGAGTTTCAGAAACTTAGCTACTTCGGCCGGCCGCTGGGGTCAATTCTATTGCTGTAAGGGACTGTATGCAGATCTTAGCTGCGCTCCGTGTTGATCGGGGAAGAAGTTCCTTATTAGAGAAAATTTTTCGGAGGGCGCAGTGTGAGTATCTCGGGAGCATCTTGAATGTCCTTAGTTACTTGCTTCGTAGGAATGGTTTTTAGTAGTTGTTTACGCTTGCGATTGGCAAGCATTATCAAATCGAAATGTAGTCTTTTTTCGGGTTAAAAATTAGTTGACTAAAATCAATTGAAATATTTATGATTCTTCAATGCTGCTGACATGCTCAATTTCATGAAAATTTAAAGTTAACTACTGGCTACTAGTTACTACTCCAAAAAGGTAAAAGAAAAGGGTACTAGTTTCGGCATCATGGCTGTCGACTTAGCTCTGTCGGTTTAGTTTCCAAATTATGTTGTCTACTTTGCATACGCTACTTATATAGCTATCGTGAATCCTATGTGGGCGTTACATAAAATTTTTTCCTATGTTTTTTTATTGGCGAAAATATTTGGCTGAGTTTCAGCTTATTGGATATCAGCTTCAATTCTGGCGGCTTATTTACCGATTTTTCACTAAAATTTTCGGTAATACTTTTGAGATCAATAAGATTGTGACACCAATTTTTAATGCCCAAATTCAAACACACTAGGACCTCCTTGAAAAACTTAAATAAATTCAAACTTCAAAAAAAGCATTTTGTTCTATAATATAGTTCGAAGTTCGGTTTGCTAATTTTTTTAGTGTCATGGTGAATCCATCCTAAAAATATTGTACCACAAGTGGTGCGAAGCTCAGCTTCGCCTCTTAGTTAAATTTTTAAAAACGTAATAAGAACTACTAAAACGTCTGGTAAGAAAGGCTGGGTGCAGTCAAACCAAATCTAATACTTTATCGCGGATCGAAAAACGTGGCCTGAAAATATCAACAACTGAATGCAAATGCAGTACATGGAAATGGGAAGAAATTGAGGAATCGGAAAGGAATTCTCCTTACTGTTAACGATGCCAGAGTAAGGAATAAAGAAAAACAATCCCTTACATGTCCCCATCAAGAGAGTATTTGTTATTGGTGGTCTGAGGATCTGAAAATTTTTTCATGCTCAAACTTTCCGCGACGTCAAAAAAGAAACATTAACATCGAGGTGTTTCAAACAAGCAAGAATTTATCGAACCAAATTCGTATCATGCGATATTGTCCCGGAATTGTAGTCCGCTATCAACAAACTAGAAAGAAGGTGAACGAGAATAGAGCGTAGCTCTAGTGGAAGACTGTAAGCTAGCAAAGTTAAAAGTCCGGACAAGACCTGTACTAAACGCAAACAAGAAAAATTTTGATTTCTAAAGTCTCACTTTTTGTATTGTGTCAGTTTATATTTCGTCGGATTAGTTACCGGAGCAACTTGTCGGTTTATGTAACGCGGAAAGTTTTAGCTTTTTCGGAATTTTCAGCAATTTTTACCGTTTTCGAAAGTCAATTCAACTTTCGTTTTAGTGCAGGCAATTGAGTTTCAAAATTTTTTGGCTTGAATGAATTTGGCGTATATTATATTGTTTATTTGTCTCAATTTGGGTTATTTAAAGCGCGATTAAAAAAATCCGATGCGTGCTTAGAATCAAATGGTACACTTAGTCCATCTTTACACAATTGAAGCGTAGTGTAATACCACAAGCCATCTTTTTTTCCAACCTAAATTAGTGCTGCTTCTGGTGGCACTTTCGTACCAGGCTGCTTTGGCAGCTTAGTAGCACGTGTTTTGACATTCGAGTAGTAATAAGTTAACGCAGTTGATGCATTTCATTTCATCAATTGAACCAAAAAAAGTTTCATTCAACAATCTAATATTTACGCTAGTCAGGAGCTAGTGTATTAGAACGAACCTTTATTTTCTAACCTAACTCGCAAATAAAAGTGTTAATTGAAAATGGAAAGTCTTCGCTTATTTGGTGGCTTTTTTGCTATAATCACGATCTAGCATTGGAAATTTCATAGCATCTGTTCTCTGCTTTATTTCTGGCTAGTGCTTGCGAATTATTACTCGTGCATGGATGAGTGGTTTGTGCGTGAGACTCATAATCTCTAGGTCGCAGATCGAATGCGAGACGTCGAATTTTAACTAATTCGAGGCTTATTTCTACCTTTTCTTATTGCAGTTTATAGAGCTGCTTTTTGTCGTGTTCT